CGTGTAGCTTTGCGCGAAATTCAAAACAAACAAACAAACAAAAACTGCAAAACACAAAATGTGAAACCGCAAATATGTGTGTATCTCCGCATGGACCCAACAAACTTTCGTGCCAAATTTGGTGAAGCTCCATCAACAGGGGGCGAAGTAGTGGTGAAAAAGTCAAATACGCTCATAAAGACCACAAAACACAAAATGCAAAACTGAAAGTTTGTATGTATCTCCCCATGGATCCAATGAACATCCATACCAAATTTGGTGAAGATCCATCCATAGAAAATGAGGTAGTGGTAAAAAACGCTACAAACGCCAATAAAACCGCAAAACGCAAACTGCAAAATTAAAAATGTGTATGTACCCCGCAATTTTGGTGAAGAATCCATCCAAACCCTGCGAAGTAGTTATACGGACATACAACAGACAGTAATTTTATATTTATATAGATGCGGATTTTTAAAGATATTTCACTCTTACAATTGAATCCACGTTTTTGTATATCCTTTTATCAGTTTCGCAGATTCGATTATGTATATCAAAATAATTCAAGAAATCACCGTTAGAAAATCGATATGTCGTTTCTAAACCTTGAGGAAAACACGAGAAATATATTTCTCACGAGCTTATTAATATTTAAACAATTGTCCCTTCTAAACGACATTGTTAGCCTTCGTAAATGACAATGTTTGGCGACTACCACGCCTCCTGTTCTAACCTTGTTATTAACTGGGTTAAATATCCAGAAAGCTGGATCCGCTTGTTACAAGCTCTGTGCCAAGGTCGCCAGTTACCATGACGACGGACCCAAACAGTATTAACAAAAGTGCTTTTGTATAAACAAAATATATGATGGCTCAAAGCTGCGGGTGTGTATAAACCTAAATGAAAATATTCATATTGACAGAGAGAAAAAAAAAGCTGAACACCATTCTACGACAGATAAGTTTATAAGCAACAAAAAAAACTATCTCTGAAAGGTTTGGGTGTGTGCATTTTCCTTCAGAATGTTTTATAGGTACAAATTAAATTCCTATATATCACACATACGGTGGTGCCATTCATTGATGATGTCGGACTTTCCGCTAGGGTTAACAACACCAATGATAATAATAATCATGTGAAACCAATGTTTCGGTTTCGTCGTATTATAGGGGCCTTGGTACGGTTGAAACTGATAATATTGTAGTTGTTAATTAATATAGGGTTGTTAGTTATTGAAACGTGTTAAGTATGCACCTATCATTTCCCTCTATGCAATGCTCTTAAGCTGAAAGTTTCTATATCTTCTGTGTGGAAATTATTTATAACTTACAGTTAAGCCAAAACAGAATAGACCGAGGCAATGTAAATACACGTGACGAAAAATACCATAGAAGGGAATTTTATCGAAACATTACCAGGAAATATACTATAAAGGCGGTTCTTGGCACGTTATAATATAGTTTGTTTGTTTGTTTTTGAATTTCGCGCAAAGCTACACGAGGGCTATCTGCGCTAGCCGTCCCTAATTTAGCAGTGTAAGACTAGAGGGAAGGCGGCTAGTCATCACCACCCACCGCCAACTCTTGGGCTACTCTTTTACCAACGAATAGTGGGATTGACTGTCACATTATAACG